GAGAAAGGTGAGTACTTTACAATGGTGCGCTCTGTCCTCCAGCCCTGCATGGAAACACTCAGGGGCATATTCCAGAGCAGACTCCGGGAAAGGACCTTGCCTCAAAGGAGAGCACATCTGCGGTTTTCACGGCAAGAACAGCTGATGGCTGCCCCCAGCATAGCGTGGGAGGGTCGTCTCTGCTCAGGCCTCCCAGAGTGCTGTCCCACGGCCTGGCTCTACCCGACAAGTAGAACAGGGTATTAGGAGGGCTCTCAGTGCAGTTTTTGTTTTTTTTTTTGAGTTGGAGTCTCACTCGGTTGCCCAGACAGTGGCCGCTCCCAGCCACCGCAGCCTCGACCTGCTGGGCTCCGGTGATCCTTCCGCCTCAGCCTTCCAAGGAGCTGGAACTACAGGCGTGCGCTCCCACGCCTGGCTAATTTTTTATTTATTTATTGTAGAGATGAGGTCTCGCCTGCCCAGGCGGGTCTCGAACCCGCGGGCTCAGGCAATCCACTCACCTCAGCCTCCCAAAGGCACGGGATTACAGGCTGAGCCACCGAGCCCAGCCATTGTAGTTTTAATTGGCCATTTTCTTGCTATGGGCAAAGGTGCATTTTCTTCATATTTAAGAACTGTTTGTTTTTCTGTTCTCTACTGATGATGTTTGCCTGCTTCTCTCCTGGACTGTCGGTCCTTTGCGTCCCATTTAGTGCCATGCTTTTTGTGTCTTTGTACTTTTTCTTGGTGATTTTGCTGTTTAAAAGAGCCCCAGGTGCAGAGCTGAAGTGCTGCCTGGGCTCCCATGCAGAAGAGGCTGTGATGAATGGGAGGGGGGGAGGGACATGTTGCAGAAGCCTCGTGGAGGTGGGAATTTTGGCGCTGGTGGACAAGGCCATGTCAATGAGTTCACAGCATGGCCAGAGAGAGGAAGAAGATATTCGCCCATTGGTTCATGGGGCTGACTAGGAAGCAGCCATGTTTCTCAGGACACAGTATTTCAGTATACACTAATCCAGTGATCATGGTGGCTTCATAGGGTGTGACTACCTCGAATTATGAGGATCAACTGAGTACACTACAGATTCAGCTGCTGGACTGTGTGTCATTCTTTTTTTTTTCCTATCATTATTCATTTTTTTCATGTTTTGTTTTTCAGTCTTTATCACTTCTTCCAGGATTTTTTTATTTTTATAAATTTTTTTCATATTTTTTCAGCCTTGTGTGTCATTCTTAAAAGGCCCTCCCCACTTGGATCCTTTACAAAATGACACTTTTGGCTGGATGTGGTGGTTCATGCCTATAATCCCAGCACATTGGGAGGTTGAAGTAGGAGAATAAATTGAGATCAGGAGTTCAGAGAACAGTCTGGGTAACTAAGCAAGACCCCGTCTCTACAAAAAGTAGTTGAGTGTTACAGCGTGCGCCTGTAGTCTCAGCCATTTGGGAGGCTAAGGCAGGAGGATTGCTTGAGCCCAGGAGTTTGAGGTTGCAGTGAGCCATTATTGTACCACTGCACTCCAGCCTGAGTGAAAGTATCTGAGAGAGAGAGAGAGAGAGAGAGAGAGAATATGACACTTTTTAATCTTCTTTGTTCTCTTAATCCTGGGCCTTGTTTCCCTCCTCCAGACAGCTTTCCTGCTGCCCCAGGTGGTTTATGCCTCTCATATGATCTGTCACACAACTCAGTCATTTTCCAGTGCAAGCACTGGGTCAGGCACACAGTGGACCTGGATGGGAGAACAGCCTCCCATCTACCTGGTCCTATCTTCAGTCTCAATGAGACAGGCACTTCCAGGGACGGGCACGAGCAATTTTGACTGAGCCTGCTGGAAAAAAGCCAGAAGCCAGGCCGGCACATTCATCAATAAGTGGAAAAAACCTTACTCTGCATTCGCTTAGGGATATGCGGCCCCTCTGGGGGATCTCACTGTGACTATGTTGGCTACAATTGCCGGTTGTACTGAGTGCAAATTGGAACCTCTGGGCAGGAGAGACCCCTGCCAGCCCCAGGCCTGAGTCAGCCTTTCCCAGCTGGGAGGATGACCAGCTTTGGCCATAGTTGGAACCTGCCCTGGAGGTAAGCATAGGCTCTAGTCAGAGGACCCCACCAAGAACATCAACAGAGGCTGAGACAGGTTGCTGCCCGGCTCCTTTCTGCACTATCCCCACAGACCCTCGCCAGCTCTGTGGTCCCAAACATGCCTGTCACTGAGCCCTCCCGACCTCTGTGTCACCATATGGAAAAGGAGGGACTAGGATTTGCCCCCAGGTAGAATGGATTGCTCTTCTGACTCAGGTGGCCTGTCCTTTCTCTATGGGTAGGCCCTGCTGTCAAGTTGAGAACAGGGGAACTGGAGTGTCTGGGCCAAGGCTTTACCCAGAGTCAGGGTGAGAGCAGTTTGGCCAGCCCAGCCCACGAGCTGCCCAGCCGTATGTGACGGCTGTCTACACAGTCAGAAGAAGCCAACAGGGTTGAGTCCTTCCTGGGCTGCTAAGAACTTCCTGGAGGTTTTCTCTCAACCCCAGGAGGTGGGCACCTGCACTGTCCCTTTGACTAATGAGGAAACAGATGTTCAGAGAAATTAACAAGCAAGTCGAAGGTCAAGCCAGCAGGTGGAGCGAGGACTTGAATCAGAGCCAGGAACCACCAGACCCAGCTTTGAGCTGCATACCTATTCATCTAATGGACTCATGGGGGTCTGTGAACACCCCCTTTGTAAAGACATAGGCCACATGTTAGGCAGAGATGCCTCTTGTCTGAAATGCAGAAAAATGTACAAGAGCAGAATCATGTGCTGGCAGCACCTTGGTGTGTTTCCTTCTGCCATTTCTTCCTGTGCGTTTTCACGTCACACTATCTCTAATCACTTCCTTGTGTCATTATAAATCTCTATGAATAGCATCTAAATGGTTCTATTGTATTTATGTGGGGAATATAACATTGTTTACATAATCATTTCCAGCTGCTGCACATGCGGTTATTTGCAGTGCTCATTATAAACAATCCTTCAGTGAACATCCTCATGCCTCACTGGCTGCACCCCTGCTTGCTGCATTCATGGGAATTCTCCAAGAAAAAATTACCGACTTAAAGGGCACAGACAATTTTTAGACTCTTGCTCCAATCACAAATTGCTTTCCACGAATGGCTGTCTGCACATCTGACTCCATTTAAAGGCAGCTGGCGAAGGCAGGCCGTGGGCTGAGCTGGGGCAGGCATGAGCCATCAGGGCCAAGAGAAAACATAAGCCAAATTCAGGCTCTCGCCAGGCAGTGGCTGTCCTGGAGGTGCTGGCCCGGGGTTACACTAGAATTGAGGGAGGATCACGACTCAACCACCTGTCCGTAAGGACAGAGCCCCGAGAAAGGACCCCCAGGGAACCAAGGTCAGGGCAGGCTGGACAGCAGCTGCAGAGTGGAGTCGTGGGTGAGCCCACAGTGGGCTCACTTCCAGGCTGCACAACTGGTCAGGTATAGCACTCAAACACAACGGGTCCCCTGTTCCACATTCCCACCTGCTGTTGGTGCCATCTCCAGGGTCTCCTGAGTCTAAAGTGAGAGCATGTCCACAAAGCATGAGCTCAGCGCTTGGCACACACCAAGTGATGGTGACTATTATTATCATCATCATCATCATTTCAGCAGTGAGACTTCATGAGGTTTCACCATTCACTGGGCTCAACTGATCCACCCCTGGTTTCCCAAGCTCCCTGGATAAGGTTCCCGGACAAGGAGCTGCCTAGTGCAGTTTGGGAGAGGTCTAACTGGCAGAGACTGGGGGTGACCGTGTCCACTATGCCTGTACCCCAGTCCACCACAGTAGGGGTCCAGGATGGAGATCTCAAATACCTACCATGCAAGGACATATGAGGGGATATAAGGGGATAAACACCTCATGCTCTGGACCAAAACAAAACAGGAAGTGTGATCTTGCATGTGGTGGGAGTCTTTTGAGTAAAATGAAATAATAACTCTATGCTTAGAAGAAAAAGCTTCCAATCACTTTCACTTATTTGACACATGCTGCTGGGCAGCTCCAGTATAGACAGCCAAATGTAGATAGAAACATTCACCAAGGGAGTGGGGCGGCAGGCATCACTTTGGGGAGTGACACTGTATAAAACTTAAAATATTTTTATGTTTACTTTTCCTGTTTTATAAATTTTCTGTAATAGCATGTGCTTAAAAAAAATCAACCAGTATTTCCAGACAATGGAATAGTATTCCGCTGTAAAAAGGAATGGAGTTCTGGATACATACTAGAAAACATTATGCTCAGAGAAAGAAGATACAAAAGGTCACACCTTGTATGATTTCATTTATCCAAAATGTCCAGAATAGGCAAATCCATAGACAGAAAGTGGACTAGCAGTTGTAGGGGCTGAGGGGGAGGGGACAGGAAGTGTCTGCTAACTGGGACAGAAATTCTTTTTGATGTAATGAAAATATTCTGGAATTAAATAGTGGTGACAGTTGCACAACATGGTAAATGTACTAAAAACCTCTGAATTTTACATCTTTTATTTTATTTTATTTTATTTTGAGTTGGGGGTCTCACTCTGTCACCCAGGCCGGAGTGCAGTGGCATGATCACAGCTCACTGCAGCCTTGATGTCCTAGGCTCAGGTGATCCTTGTGCCTCAACCCCTTGAGCATATGGGATGACAGGCATGTGCCACCATGCCTGACTAATTAAAAAATTTTTTTTGTAGAGTCACGTTCTCACTATGTTTCCCAGGCTGGTCTTGAACTCCTGAGCTCAAGCAGTCCTCTTGCTTTGGCCTCCAAAAGTGCTGGGATTATAGGCTTAAGCCACCATGCCTGGCTGAATTGCACACTTTAAAAGAATGTATTTTGTGGTCTGTGAATTATATCTCAATAAAACTGTTATTAAAAATCAATGTGTTTTAAAATTTGGGAGTAAGGGAAATGTTATATTAATTTTTTAATTATTACATAAAGGAAAGAAATAGAGGTGGTGCCCTAGAACATTAAACCCTCTCCCATCTGCCCTCCAGACCCCTGTCCCTGGCCCTGCCACCCAGGTGGTCCTGGCAGCAACAGGGGAGCCCACCAGTGTCACATCCCCACCCTCTCCCCAGTCGCCCACTGTGGAGTGCTCCCCTTTCCTTCCACAACCCACATCCCCCCCACCCCCAGGCTCAGGTGTCCCTCTCCCCTCTGGTCCCCACAGGGAGTATGTGGCAGCCCTGGCCTGGCTTCCGTCAAAGAAAAATGGCCGGATTACCCCCAGGAAGTTCACACCCTGAAGAAGCAGTATCTTGACACTTCCTTGCATCTTGCCAAGCCCAGCACACCACACTCGGCTCCCAGAGATGAGCCGAAAGCAAGCATCACCCTGCTGGCTCCAGTTCCCCCATGAATCCAACTTTGGGTATTTCTAATCAGTTTCGACTCCCTATGAACACAGCCTCATTCTCAATTCTTGCCATCCATGCCTGATGATTCACTGAGCTCACAAGAAATGTGACATGCCAGAGGACTCTATGTATTTTCTTTTTTTCTTTCTTTCTTTCTTTTTTTCTTATGAGCCCAATCATGGCACATTAGTCTTTGGCCTGAGAGGCCCGTTATCCTGTTCAAGGCTCTGTTCTCTGTCTCTGAGGGTCTGCAGTCTCCCAGTCCAACTGTGGGCACTTTGAGGCCTTCCTGGGTCTTGCACCTCTGAGAACGGCAGTGAAGAGTTTCGCCAAATAGTGGGTGCCCTGCAGCACCCTGGATGTGGAGCCTTTCCTGGAGGCCAGACAGTGAGACACCCACCATTTGCCTTCCCAGTCACATGCCTCACACACGAAAAGAAAACATGGGCCTCAGTGGGCACCTAAGGTCTTCTCCAGGAGGATGGGCACCCCCAGCCCCTTGGGGCCACCTGGGAGCTGCAGCTCTGCTTCCAGCCAGGCAAGCTCTGGGTTCCAGGCGCTGAACACACACCCTCCCCTAGGGAGGTTCACGGTGTGGAATCCTCCAGTGAGCACAGCAAAACTAGATTTGAGACACAGAGAGTCGAGCCGACTCTGATACTCTCTTCGCACGAGTCCCATGCAGGCAGCTTTTGTCGAGCACCTGTTGTGTACCACTCTCCCAGCACTGGAGCTTCTGGGGAACTTCTCGGTCCTGGCTGCATGTCAGGACCACTTGGAAGCTTTCAAACATCTGATCCCTGGCCCACCCCAGACCCCTACCACAAGAGTCTTGGGGCAAGGGGCATAGGCTGGAGGATCATGATGACCCCACAGTGATTCCTCCCAGCAGCCGAGACAGCATGGTAGGTCCCACCCTACAAATAGAGAAACTGATGCCAAGTGGCATGGGGGAGGTCAGGCAGGCTCTGCCTTTTCCCCACATCCCTGGGCTCTTTTTGCCCTGTACTTACAGTTTTACTTTTAACTGTATCATCTGCTTCACCAGAACTGGGGATCACCCCAAAGTAATCTCCCTCAGGATCACAAGTAAAATCCTACCCAGTGAAGTATTCACCTAGAGACTGTGGGGGGCTGTCTCCTGACTCCTGTCTACTCCAGGACATTTCCAACAAAACTTGTTATTGGAAGGAAGCAAGTCATTCCAGAAGCACCGATCCAGTTCGTACTGCCTGACCCATCCACCCAGCTCTTCCCATGGGGAGTTCCCATCCCTCAGGGGTACATCTTTACCATCCTCTGACATCATCTTCCAGCAGCAGAGGCTCATTCCCACAGCCCACCTGCTCCCCAACTACCCCCACCCTCCTGCCACTTCGCGCTGTCTGTCTCGGGTCTTCCTGCCTCTCCCCAGCCATTCCCACCGCCCCACTGGATTCTGCTCTCCCAGCACCACCCCCCATTCTGCTGCCCCCGATTGGGGCATCCTCCTCACAGTGTGTGTGGCCTGGGGACACTCCGGGAGGCAGCCTGGTTGTGCTGGACTTGAGCACTGAACAAGCTGCCTGAGCCACTTGGAGGTTACCACCCAGGATGTACTGGGGACTGGACAAGGCCAGACTCTACCCTCTCTTCTAACTGGTAAGCCTCGATGGACCCTGATGTGAGCAAGGGCAGGGGAGCTGGCCTGTCTCCCTGTCTCCCTGTCTCCCTCCCACCCTCCTGTGTGCCAAGAATGTTGAGCATGGCCCTTGTGCCCATCTTTCAGAAACTGACAACATGATTCCGCTGCCTCCTGGACCCCAGCCCCTGAATATCATCTACACAGAGCAGACATGTGCCTGCAGGTACTCACCAATGGATTTGCTGGGGCCCAGCCTGGATTTGGGGAAAGCTTTTCTCACCAAGGGGCTCCCTGGCACAGCAGGTTGGTGGGGAGTAGAGGTCACTGTTTTCACTCTGTGACTGTAAGCAAGTTACTTAAAGCTGAAACATCTCTGGGCTAGGCCTCAATGTGCTCATCTGTGAAATGGAGAACCTCTTGCTGACTTGGCCCTTCAGACTCCGAGATGGCTAAGTATCAAAGACAAACGTGGTTATCATGGCCCTGGGTCACATGGCCTCAGGACAACCAGCAGGGCAGACAGCAGTGCTTACTCTCTTTTACTTAGCACCAGGGAGATGGAGGCTAAGAGATGCTCAATGACCTGGCTAAGGGTGCACAGCAAGTCTTATCAAAGTCCTGGTGTCCAAGGTCTGTTCAAGCAAGCCTCAGGCTCCACCTGCCAGGCCCCCAGGACTAAGATTCCTTGCAAGGGAAACTGTGGCCTGTCCACTAGCCACTTTGTTGTGAACTCTAATGGTTATGGGTTGGCAGAGAGAATGAGCTCCCTGTCATGGGAGGTGTGCAAGCAGGGCTGTGTGAAATCGCCCTAGGGTCTCAGAGAGTACTCAGCACTCAGTCAGGGACAGGCTGGCCCCCATCCCTCTGGGTTGGTCAGCTCCCAGCCAATTTGTGGGTATAGCCACATTTCCCCATACACATCCATAAGCATGGCTGGTATGCATGTCTGGACATCTCCTCCCTCACGAAGCTGGCACAATGCCCATGTGCCACCAGTATGGCCCATTGGGAGCAGGAGGAGGCCATACGGGTGCACATGGCCTGGGAACACATTTAGCTTCATTTTGTTCTGGTCTTCCCCATCATGAACAGACCTGTGGACTTGGTGCTCTTCCCAGACTGGTTGAATCCCAAAGGAACTGGCAGCCTTTTAAGGTGAACAAGCCAGGGATAGACATGTCAGCCCGTCCTACAGGGTAGGGATACTGACCGAGGCTCAGGAAAGGCCAGGACATGCCCAAGGTTATTCAGATGGCCAGGGGCAAGGTTGGAGGTCTTCAGCCTCCATGAACAAGACAGAAAGTATGTCAACCCAATGCCCACCTGTGCCTGGAAGACCCCCACCCTGGGAAGTGTGGCTCTCAGGGCCTCTTAGTCCATAGAGCTGGTGCCTGCTGTTCTGCCTCCTCCTTGTGTGGACTCTGGGCTTATGCCAGAGTCGTTGAGCCTCGGCCTGAAAGCCTGCCTCACAAGGTAGATGTGAGGATTAGATAATATAAACCAACAGGCATGTGCCAAGTGCACAGCCCTGTGCCTAGCACGCTGCCAACCAATCCCTGACTCCGGGGGAAGAGTCCTGATTTGAGGTGTTTGCCAATTGCTGTAGTGTAAACACTCCCAGCACAGCTGACTTCAGCTACAGAATGGCATCACCAGACAGCTGGGAAGAGGTGAGCTGGTCAGTTTCAACTGGTGCCGGTTCCCCAGGGAGGTGGGGGGTAGCCCAGAAAGTTCTGCTTCTCTGGATGACAGTTGACTGGGCACACTTATCCCTCTGAGTTGCAAGGGTTTGCTATCTTCTCTGCTGGCTTTCATGTCATGTGAGTGACTTGTGCCAGAGGTTCCAGGGCCAAAAGCCTACGGGTGTTTCTTCAGCTCTGAAAGTGTGTATCTGACTTGGTGCCAGCCCAAGGGGTGCAGACCCAGATGAGAACATGCTGGCATCTTCCTTGTACCTTAGTCTCCTCATCTGCAAGTAGGTCCAATGAGTGTGAGTCATGGGGTCATGGAGGTTGGGGTGAGGGTGAAGTTCAGGGCACTGCCTGGAGCAGGCTCAGAAATTAGTAGTGCAGTCACTGACATAGGCCACCTCCCTGCAGTGGGGCCAGAAATGCCCAACAGGGGACTTGTTTGCAGGAATCCAGTGGAGGAAAGACAAGGGAGTGGTGGCATCTGGCAGAGGTGGGGGAGAAGCACTTTGGGTCAAGGGGCTTCCAGAGCCTCTCCATGTTCCCACCCAAGGCACCCCAGCTCGGCTTCTGTCGTGGACGCTCTAGGACTTAGGGCCTTTGGGGCCTCAGTTGGTTCAACTGTAAAATGGGCATAGTGACCACCAGTGCCTCCCTGGGTGATAGTGAGGCTCTCATGGATCCTGTTGGTGTAGCGAGGTCAGGAAAGGACACACCAACCTCCCACCAGGCTTAGACCCGGGCTGGACTTCCGAGGGTGGCAGGACCCCTGGCCCTTCTGTCTTGGCACAGGGTTCAGCTCTGGTGTGCCGGGCTAAGGAGAGGTGAGGGGTGGAGTCCACTGTCTCCCTCAAAGACACACAGGGCGCTCCACAGCCAACACCCTGCGGCGCCTTCCCAAGAGCCTCAGAGGTCAGGAGCGCCGCCTCCAGAACTGAGCTGCGGGTGGGAGTCGCGCGAGCCGGACCGCAGGTAGCCGCGCTACGCC